CCACTGAAGAAGCTAATCCTATCATTCATTCTATTGATTAGTTGAAATTTCATGTGCTGGACAATTTATCTTTTTGTTTTTGTTGTTGTACTAGACATTTAAATATTTAATGCTTATTTTTATTCTAATTTTTTTGTCATTTCAAATATTACTCTTTGATTACTTTCTTAATTTTTATGTATTATTTATATATTATAATATCGTATCCGCGCCGCATCCTGTATTTTTAAGAATTGGCGTGTCCCGTTTTCGTATCGTGCCGTATCCGTATCGTCATATCTGTATCGGTGCAACATAGAAGATAATTGAAGCAATAGAACAGAAATTTTCTGTGAACTTGATAAAATGCTGTTCTGCGCTCTTTTTTTTATTTTTCTAATTTAAACACTTGAACTTAGGAGATGAGCTTGTGAAGCAAGCGTTAGGATTTTCTTTGTTTGATTTGTTTATGATGGTTTATATCTATAGGATATGCTGTGGGACACATTATGAACCAAACTCTGATAGGGTTTAGCTGTTATTTTTTGGGATTTGATTAGCACCATTTCCAGCCCTGCAATTCCAGTAAGGGTCGCTTTCATTCACCCAGACCTCCTTAAGGAAGCACTTTTCAGTTTCAGTGGTTACTGAATCTGCGGATTAGAAATGATCTGATAGCCTGAGGAATCAATCTCAAGATTCTTAACCATTTAGTTAATTCAGTTTAGCTCTTTGATAAGCTATAATGGTGCGTCATCCTAGTGATATGGATGGTAAACAGTTCAGTCCTTTTGGGTTCTAACTTGATTTTAATTTGTTTATAAATTGTTTTGGGACACACTAAGTTTTATGGGGGCATTTAAAAAATATTAATAAAAATATTTTTGAGAGTAAGATTCAAGATCTTAAGATTTTGATTTTACATGAAGAAGTTAAAGTTGTGGGAAAAAGTAGCTAATAATATTAAGAATGTTACAAATGATGTACTTGGAGAATCAAAAAGAAAAAACTCCTAATAGTAAAAATAGTTAGTGGTGGAATCAAAATATGTAAGAAAATATAAAAAATAAGAAGTGTTATAAAAATTTGTTTAGATGTGAAAGTTTGAAAATTTTGTGAAAGATATGTAGTTGCCTGTAACGAGTCTAATAAAGTAATATGCGTTGCAAAAAACTTAGCTTATAATGATTTATATAAATATATATTAGACTAAGAAGGGCGAAACATGTATATATAAGTTAGCCAAACAAAGAAATAAAAGAAATAAAGATTTAGTTCAAATGAATTATATTAAGGATGAAGATAAAAAATATTTTTATTATAAGAGAAAGTTCAACAAAGTTGAATGAGATATTTCGATAAGTTTTTCAATGAAAATTATGAGAATACGATTAACTTTAGTGGACCTTAGCACCCTAATTGGAAATAATTTTTTTTTTATAGTCATATTAATAAAAATGATTTTAACTTTTAACAGAGCACAATGGAGAAAAAGGATTCATGTAGCCGACCTCACATAATGGGATAAAGGCTTAATGTTGTTGTTGTATTAATAAAATTGAAGTTATAGAAGCTTTAGAAAAATGAAGTGTGAAAAGTTGTTCGACCTAATGATATTTCAATAAAAGTATGGAAATGCTTAGGAGATGAAGGAATTTTTTTACTTACAAATTTTTTTAATATTATTTTGAAGACTAAAAATATGTCAGATGAGTGGAGAAGTGTCGAGTGTGTTAATTCATATTTTTAAGAATAAAGATGATGCACAAGAGTGGGAATTATAGAGAAATTAAGTTAATGTGTCATACATTAAAACTATGGGAGAGAGTTATTAAATATAGGATACCACATGATAGTAATGTTTCTCAAAATCAATTTGGATTCGTGTCGGGTAGGTCTACTAAGCAAGATGTACATTTATTGAAAAATTTGATAGAGAAGTAAAAAAGAGAATAAGGAGGATTTACATATGATATTTATTGATTTAGTTAAAACCATGGGAGAGAGTTATGAAGCAGGGTTGTGGTGTGATACTAATGTTTCTCAAAATCAATTTGGATTCATTCCGGGTAGGTCTACTATGGAAGCTATACATTTATTGAGAGTTTGATAGAGAAGTATAGAGAGAATAAGGGATCTACATATGATATTTATTGATTTAAGGAAAGCACATGATAAATTTTCAAGAGAAGTGCTATGGAGAGTTCTAGAAAAGAAAGGAGTTAATAATGCTTATATTCAAGCCATTAATGATATTTATGCAGGAGCTAGTACTTGTGTTTAAACACAAGGTGGCTTGACCAAGTATTTTTCTTATTTCAGTTGGATTACATCAAGGATCAACCTTAAGCTCATATCTTTTTGCTTTAGTCATGAATGTTATCACTAGACATTTGTAAGAGGTTGTATCCTGGTATATGCTTTTTGTTGATGATATTCTTGTTGATAAGACTAGAGAGGGAATTGAAGATAAACTTGAATTATGGAGGTCAACCTTGGAGTCTAAAGGTTTTCGTTTGAGTTGATCTAAAATTGAATTTATCGAGTGTAATTTTAGTAATAGATCTAGTGTGGAGATTGTGACTTTGGGCAATAAAGTCATTAGACATCTTGGGTCTATTGTTTAGAGTGATGGTGAAATAGTTGAGGATATTATTATTAGAATTCTAGTTGGATGGTTGAAGTGAAGGAATGCATTGGGCCTGTTGTGTGATAGAAAAATCCCTCTCAAATTTAAGGAAAATTTCTATATGATGGTGGTGACGACAAGAATAACAACATCAAGTCTTTATTATACCACTACGTGGGGTTGGCTACATTAATCTTTTTTCTTCATTGTGTCATGTTAAGAGTCAAATTCTTTTCTAATCAAATATTTTTAGGTCTATATCTTCCTTTCTTAACATAGGCCAAATCTAATACATCTACTCTCCTAATAGGGTCATCAGAAGGCCGCCATTTTATATGAACAAATCATTTAAGGCGACTCTCTAATCTCATCTGTCACTGGAGCTAATCCAACCTTTTCATAGATATGAGATAGAGATAGACCTAAAAAGCCTTGGCTAGAAAATATTAGAAATGACCTTTTATTAAATTTAAATGAGAGTATCACTCTTAACAAGATACAATGGAGAAAATTGATTCATGTAATCGACCCCATATAGTGGGATAAAGGCTTTGATGTTGTTGTTGTTGCTGCTGCTTAAAGTCTACCTTGTTGCATACTTAATTGTAAGTTGTGTTTGTGATTGATCAATTTTCTCATTTCTCATTTGTACCCATTACCGTGTAATTCTAGTGGTAGTGTGACTAGTGTCGCTCGATTCCAAAGGTTACCCCCCCCCCACAAAACTCTCATCTCACAATGTCTTGTCACAATGTTCATGAGGATAACTAACATTCCAGATATAGACCTTATTTACTTTCAAAAGAAGAAAAAGAAAAATATTTAAAAATTAGAATCTCCCATACATGAATGCATGACTGCAGTTTCCTATTGAATTTTTATGAGATCTTGATTTGTTTTATTTTTTTATTTTTTTTGCAATGCTTCCATTCAATATCCATGCCAGAATTATGATCGTGAAACGATTAATTGGTTGTGAGAAAAAATGCGGCTAACATAGTGTGAAAGAAAAAAAAGTGTGTTAATTCTTTTTATACCACTTCTTGCTCTTTCTGTGCAGGTACATCTTACACACTGCATTTTCCACAACTTCTGCGCTGACAGATTGGAGTAGTGTGTTTTATTCTGTTATCTACACATCAGTACCAACAATTGTTGTTGGTATTTTGGACAAGGACCTTAGTCATAAGACTCTTCTTCTATATCCAAAATTGTACTGTTCAGGACATAGATCCGAGAGCTATAATTTGCGGCTCTTCTGGATCACAATGTTGGATACACTGTGGCAAAGTCTTGTTCTATTCTACGTGCCTTTCTTCACCTACAGATATAGTACCAGCGATATATGGAGTTTGGGTAGTTTGTGGACTATTGCAGTAGTTTTCCTTGTCAATATTCACTTGGCCATGGATATACAAAGGTGGGTATTGATAACTCATTTGGCAACATGGGGATCTATAGTTGTAACATTTTTGTGCATGGTGGCCTTAGATTCCATACCAAATTTTCCCAATTACTGGTGAGATCTACCAGCTCTCTCTCTCTCTCTCTCTCTCTCTTAAATTGTGTCTGGATTCTTATAATTTAGTGCTTGTTGGCAGGACGATATACCATTTAATCAGCTCAAGGACGTATTGGCTCACTATTCTGCTGATAACTGTCTTAGCATTACTTCCTCGCTCTATGTATAAAGTGATTTGGCAGATGTTTTGGCCTTCTGACATTCAAATAGCAAGAGAGGCTGAGATGATTGGGAAAGTTCTAAACAATGTAGGGTCAAAGCTCGAGCAAGATGTCAGCTAACAAGGTCGGGTACTTGATTGAGATGTTTACTGTACCCAACATGGATGGATATCTATGACTTGTAGAGTTGGTCTTCGTAATCTTCCTGGGTGAGTATATCGCATCCAAGTAGTGAACATTTTTCTGAATCGATCTGTAATAGGTAGCTCCTTTCCATGTTAATAAACTGCATAAATATTTGTAGATTCTTTTGCTTTAGAGTTGAATGCATGAATCATAGAAGTTCTTTTTGGTCAATTGAAATCTTTTTAAGTTATATGTTTGTTATTTTAAGAGCACTTGTTCTTTCTAGTCGGAATTTTGCACGTAGCAAATGATCAAATCTGTGCACTTTTGTAATTTAAATTTATAGGTTGGAGACTAGATGTTGATTCCATGGTTATAGGAGTGACTAGCAAATCATGATGCGCTTCTTTTTAGGGGTGTCAATATTTGACACAACCCGAAAACCCGACTCGAATTTGACTTGAAAATTCCGGGTTAGGATCAACCCGAACCCGAAACAAGTCGGGTTCGGGTTCAACAATTCGACCCGTTTCAAACATTGGGTCGGGTTCAAGTTGACCATTTGACCCGTTTTGACCCAAAAACCCATTTTTGACCCGGAAACCAGTTTTCGACCCGTTTTGACCCGAAAAGTGGAGATTTACCCCCCCCCCCCCCTTTTTTACCTGAAAAACTAGCAATTTTTTTCATAGCCCTAGGTCATTCGGGTCTTGTCGGGTTGACCCGGACTCGGAGCGGGTCAGGTTCGGGTCTAGAAAATTGACCCGTTTGCAAAAACGTGTTGGGTTTGAGTTGACCCGAATAGTGCCGGATCAATTCCGGTTCGACCTGAAGCCGCCCCTTGACCCGAAATTGACACCTTTACTTCTTTTGATGCCAAATAGCATTTATGGACTTCATATATTTTTGGTGAGGGCTTGCCAAGCGATCTCTCCAACGGACTTTGGGATTACACTGAGACTCTTCTTAGCTTTGCGTGGTTCGGAATGCCTGAGGGAGAGTTTTGACATCAGGAGACTGATTTGCGGTTGCATGCCTCTTATAGGGGACTTCTGCCAATAGCAAACACTCGTTAAGCTATTTGAGGGCACAGGAGGATGCGGTTTGTGTCTGAAGAGATTGTTGAGCAATTTTATCAGTATGAGAAGAAGATAGTGGTTCACTTTATAACTTTTTTGGTGTTAGGGAGCTAACATGAAGAGCACCACCTCTAGAATGCTTTTGTTTTGGCAGGAGTCTACCACTTCACTTGACTGGATTTGATTTCTAGTTCTGGATAGAACTAAGTTAAACCAAACCAAATTGGATCTTATTAGGCTTACTAAGTTGAACGCACCTGATTAGGCAGACCTATTAGCATTACAAATTTGTCGATTGTGATTCAGCAAATAAGTATAAATGAGCTTGAAGTTGGGATCTTTGTGATTTTATTTCTGTGTGAATTGTTTTTCACATGCTTATTTAACTTATATCAAAAACTTGACCAACCTTTTTTTTAAGGTTACTTCTAATGTGTATTTTTTTGGGTGCCAACTAATTGTTGATTCAGAACATTATTAAAACCGCTGGGAGAAAAGCACTTCCTTAATCATGTTCTCTCTATCTCATGGCGCCTTATCAAACTGTTTCTTAAGCTTCGTTTGGGACAGCTTTTGTACTGCTTTTTAAAATGACTTTCTAGTACAAAAAATTCAAATTCAAAAAATTTTGTTACTAGAAAGCTGTTTTAGAAAGCAAGAAAAAAGCCGTCTTAAACAAAACCATAGGCTCTTTGAGGTGATGTGCTATGATATTATTTTGAGCTTTGACTATTGGAAAATCAAAACAAAGAAATTAAATGGCTTGGGTTGGAAAACAAGAATAATATTGATATAGTTTGTTCCTTTTGAGCCTTTATTGATACCTTTTGACTGTTTACTTGATCAAATTACTTCCAGGATTGTATTATTAGACAGCTGAACAACCTGTGAGGCAGGATGAACCACCATAGTGCAAATTTTCCCCTTTGAAACATTTATTTCCCGTCCTTGTGACTATGATTTGTTCATAATAAGCTGATATTTCATAATTTATGAATACAGGACGATTTTACTTGGAAGGAGACAACAAAAGATCACCCATATGTAAACCCTAAAGGTCACAGAATTCCTTCTTGTCTGGACATCTATAGATCTGGATCACATCGACCTTGTATAGATCTGGATTTTGAGAGGAGGCTTTTGGTGAAGTTAATCTGAAACTTCCAGAAAATTAGGGTTAGTACATGGTTCTTTTTTCCCTTTGTGAGAATACAAATTTTCTTCTGCTTCTGCTGCTTCTTCCATCACCTTTTTTTCATTATTCTTCCATCATGAAAATGTATTTGAAAGCTGTATTGTAAATGATTCTTAGGTTGAACACTGTGTCTGTACCATTGTTCTTGATTGCTAGTTTTTAGAACTGTGTTGACTTTTTTATGGAAAAAAATTGTAAAATGATATTCTGATTAAAAAGTGATCATAATACATTTTAAATTTGAAATTGATACAATGATAATTAATTATATAATACATTAAAGTAGATCAAAAGGATCTTAGGCTTGGGCGGGCGGACGGGCGGGCTTCGGGGGCTTTATATTTGTGGATGTTGCATGATTAATAATTTAGGCTGCCCTGCTTTCTTTTGTTTTTTTATTTTATAGTATGAGTGGCCTTAGATTTCGTTTGTGATAATTTTTTTACTATTTTTAGTAAAAAAATTATTTTAAAAAATAATTAAAAAAAAACTTTCTGAAAAGAAGTCTTAAACTCTGCCCTCTTTTTGTGATTTGTTAGGAAAAGGTTTAGGTGATTCAATTTTTATTTTTACATTAAAAAAACTTATGATTTTGTTCTTATAAATAATAAAACTATTTCTTCAAATCAAAATGATTTGAAAAAAGACGAGTGATCTCATGCAATAAGTGAGGATAAAAATAATACAGAAATAATGTATAATAATTTTTTAAAATTCGTTTTAACTTTCATTATTTTATTTAAATTTTATTAGTAAAACAAATTTAAAATAAATCTTAGATAGTATTTAGGATTCAATTGCGATAATTTTTAGCTATTATTTTTTATTTATAATTAGAAAACTGTTAAAAGTTTGTAAAATAATTATCCCAAATGAATCCTTAATTTAAGCTTTATTAATTTTAAAATTTAACAATCATATAAATTTGAAATTAGTTAATTTTTGTAATAATTATAAAAAAAATATTCAATCTAATTAAATCTTACGTGGAACAACGTTAATAAATAAATATAAATAAAGAACAACATATTTTATTAGTTATACTAAATAAATTAAAAAAATAAAATAATCTCATTTATAGTGATGAATTACTATATATAGTGATGAATTACATATTTTATTAGATAAATGTTGAGAAGGCAACTTTTGTTGGACTTGTATTAAGAAGTTGATGGAAAGATGGCCATGTTGATAACTCTAATATTTCTAGCAAAGAATCATAGCCAATAAGATGACTCTAGTAGGTGAGGAAAAGATGATCGAGTAAAAAGAGAGTGTTGACTAACTATAAGTCAATGACGATGATCAATGAGTCAGTGTTGGGCTCCAATAGATATGACATTGGTGAGCATAGAGAGTGTTGGTTCGTCGAGGAGGTGATATCAAAGCCAAGATGAGTGCCAACTCAACGGGTTTGATTGACAGAGAACGTCAATTGAATCAAGAGGGAATCTTGTCTAAGAATGACTTATGTAGAAGAGAAGGGTTCCCTAAGGTCATTAGGGCCCTAACAAAGGTCAGGATTTACTAAGAAGAGCACAAGACTGAGCTTTGGACCTAGGTCGATCAACCATTAAAGAGGATTATAATTAGGATTTGGGCCCGTTAGTCTAAGTTTTGGCTTTGGGCTATGGTTGAGAATTTCTTTCTAGTTCAATAGAGAAGCTTGGTCCACTTATTGAGTGTCGATTTATTCATTCATCAATATTAGGGGCATGATAGTCCAACACGATTGAGATGTCTTCTAAGGTATTCCAAGATCGAAATTAAAGCAACTAGACCAAAATTGGAACTCTTTGTTCTCAGTACCTAAAATCGGGATCTCTACCTTGAAGGGACAAAGCATTGACCTTCGTCAAGTTCTCTCTCAAATGGTCTAATCGAATAAGGGATGAATTGCAATATGATCATAACATGTTGTTTGCCTTCTGCTTCTTTTTTTTGTTTTTTTGTACTTATAAACCCCTATTTAAGGTGTTGATGACTACAAAGAATGAATTGTACATGAAGTTATAGTGATGAATTACTACATATAATAGAACGTGAAGTTTGATTTAAGCAGTCCTTTGATTAACTAAGAATAGTACCATGACTTGGCTAAACTAAGCTGTTTGATCGATCAAAGTTTTTTTTTTATGCTCTCAAGAGGGATAAATTATTACGTATGGATAACATATATAATTCTTATATGTGAACTACATGAGCAGGGGCGGATCCAGCTTCTTTTTTTAGGGTGGGCAAAAAAAAAATTTTGGTAGGGGATGGGCAAAAATGATTAGGATTGATAAAATTATGGCAAAAAAATTTTTTAGGAGGGGGCAAAATACCCAAAATATTCTAAAAAAAACCCTCTAAAATTAAAAAAAAAAAAAATTGAGGGTGGGCATTTGCCCCCCCTCACTAATATGGGGATCCGCCCATGTACATGAGTGCACAAATATATGCTCTTCAATCACTTGAACATTTGATTGCCTCAAGCTTCTAACCAATAAATTACTCTTGATGTAATGCATTGTCCTGGTTAATGTGACGACTCATTATGCAAATCTATCTGCTAACTTCAAATAACTCTTGACATAAACCACCAAACTGAGTGATTGACGTGATCGATTGATTCGTATTTTCACCTATGCTAATCTGTTGATAGATTCTTAATCAGATGTTAATTCATTTATAAATAATTGAGGCACGATAAATCATCTTGAAATTTAAAGATAATAACTTAATTACCCTCCTAATCATTCACATGATCAAAAAGCTTTTGATCAATGGGCATATTGGTTCATTATAGGTTTTACATGTGATTCATTTATGTTCTTCACATGATTCAGTTTGATACTAACAATCCTTTCATTCCCATAGGGCAAAATAAAGGATTCTCTTCTTTTGCTTTTAGCTTTTAGCTTTTATCTTTTGTTGAACAATACTTAATTGCTAACCATAAGCTGATATTTTGCTTTTCAATTATGTGAAGGTTTTAAAACTATATTTTCTAAATTTTTTATTTCAGTAGTTTAGATGGTTCTAGTAGTTTCTGTTATTA